TTTTTTTTTTTCTCCAGATCTTCCCTGTTTGACCACATAGAATTTTGGAAACTATACTCTGTAATAAATACCAATTCCGAAGTATTACTTCATAAAATCCATTCATACAAGTGATCGAAATATCCATGTATCCATATACAAATGATAAGTTGTTACAGACTAAATTATTTGCTTAATTTCTTTTCTTTAATCAAGTGATATTTGCATTGGAGTAACTAGTCGCAGATTGCAGATGTCATGAGAAGGGGGCCCAGAAGAGGAAGAGGCGTATAGGAACACAGCTACTTCTGTAGAAATAATTTGGTTACCATGTGTGACTGCCTACTTTTCTTTTAAATATGATTAAATTAGTTGTAATTTATTTATTTTAATGAGTGATTCTGTGATCGCAATGTCTCTGTGATGGAGGAGACCTGCATTTTGATGCTGGTTTTGAAGTTTAAAGATTGTGTATGCGTACTTAGATATCACTAAAAGTAGTGTGTAAGTTTACTGGCAAAATGTAATTAAATAATACTTTGCAACCTTGTTAGTGAACTCTGTTTGTTAAGGCCTTTTTGACTCAGTTTAGGACTTTACCATATAAGTCTCAGCTTTAGTACCTGTGGGAGGTAAAGGCTACTGAATGGAGCTTCATAGATGACAAGACTGCCTGTCAATTAGAGTTAAAAAAAAAAAAAAAAAAAAAAAAAAAGAGAGAGAAAGACTTAAACTACTTTTAAATCATTGCATTTTTTGCTTAAAAGAGTTTTATTATTCTACAGTCTTCATAAGGAAAGTACTGAAACGACTGTATGCTGACACTTCCTCGTCTTCTCCCGTGCACACCTCGAGTGGAGAAAAGGAGGAGACAGTTCTTGGAAACCTGGGCTCAAAATCCCAAGAGAAGGATCTGGAGAGTGCTCAGACTTTGCCAGTAGCTGCCAGTACATCAGGTGATGCACACTGCAAATCACTTGAAGGTGAGACTTGTAATCGTTGTTCTGATGGCGTACGTTTTAAATATATTTCAGTTATCTTAATATGCTTTAGTAGCTACAGTTATCATCAAATTGATACCCACAGACACACTTGAATAAAAGAGTTAGTGGTACTTAATCCCCAAAGTACTAGATCAGTGCATCAGTTACTTGAAAATTAAGAAATAGTCTTGATGTATGTGTATGTGTGCAGTATTCAGCAGTAGCTGATAGGAAACAGCAGTGTAAGCAATGATTATCTTTGGTATAATGTCTTCTGAACAGTGGGAAAATTAATTAAAAAGCTGGGCTCAGTTGTAGCATAATTAAAGATATACCCACAGATTGGAGKGAGTGGGTGAGTCAGCACTTCTTCCTATCCTCATGCTACAACAGAAGCCCAGGTGCATATGTACATAAGAAAAGGCAAATATAATTGATTCAGGCAGTATGTTAGTACTAGCAGTCATTATTTTCAGCTTATGTGGATGGAGCTAAAGTAGCCTGTAAATATTTTGACAGGTGAGTAAAAAGTCTTATTTCAAATGGACTGTAAAATGTGGATGCTGTACAAAAAGATGGGCTTGTAAAATGGGTAACTGGTGATATTTGTGAGTGATAGGCTTGGCACTTAGGTACAGAATGAGCATGAATTGCTTCATTTTGTAGCTTATCTAAAATCAAGTTTTGCCTTAACTGAGTCTTTAAACTGGCTTTTTTTTCCTCTCTTTCCCTGTGTACTRTGGGCTCTCAGTACTGTCTGCAGAAATCTGAATTGGAGTAAATGAATGCATTAAGAAAACTGCCTGGAAAAKTATGTTATGATGCTTTTAGAGTTGAAGGTAAAACTGAAAATAATACGAATATTCTAGAAAATAATTTGACACTTTTCAGTCTGAATTACGGGATAAGAGTTTTGCTTAATTGTGTCCTGAGGTATATGCTTGTGAATTTTTACTACTGCTTTATTGCAGTAGTGTCTACAGGTCCTTAGTGCTCTACCTTTCTCCTTTTCCCTATATAAGTTCCTGTCATTGAAAAAAAAATCTTTGCTATTCTATATGAACTGAATTAAAGAAGTTAGGAGAATCTAAAACTCTTCTGAACCGTGTGATAASTTTGGGGATATTACTAGCAAAATGAAATGCAAAAATACTTTGTTGTGATTAAAACATAATTTATCCAGGCTATTTACATTTTTTTACCTCCCATATTTATCAAARCTGATGGTTTGCTCTAGTAACTGAAAGATGGATGATATTGTTTATGCCCAGTGACTTCAACAGAGTATGTAACTTAACATTTCAAAGATGACAGAGCTTTTAAAGCTATAATATGAAATAATAGGCCTGTCTCCGGAGAGTTAAAATAAAAAGCCCTTCTGCTAGGGCAGTTGTTCTGTGATACAAACRAAGGAAAAATGATGGCAGATGTGGTTGTGGCAGGAGATGAAAGCTTTGAGARAAAAAGGAGCAAGATGTGTGGTAGAACTGGAAAGCTGGACTACAGGAGAGAGATTTGTCTCGTTCAGGCACCTGCTTGGCAGGAGCCAACAGAAGACTGCTGCAGGATGCAAAGGAGCTCAGCAGAGCTGGATGATCCTCAAGAATAATCTCTTCAAAGCCCGAGAACAGCCCATTCTAATATGTATGGAACAAGCAAGCGGAGCTGAATGCCTGGCACAGCTCCCGTGCAGGAACGGGGCAGGCCCAAGGGCAGAGCCCTCACTGGGGGAGCCGCTTCCAAGTACCTCGGGAGGCCTCGCGGCAGCAACCAGGCTCGTCCAGCTGCCCGGCGGTGACCAGGCAAGTCAGCAGTGACAAGACTGGTCTGAGATCAAGCCAGGCAGGCAGGTTTGCGGGGGCACGTGGTGTAGGGCAGGCAGACACGTGCCCCATAGGCAGGTATGGCACATCAGATAGCGCAGCCCACAGAAGAGGGGCTTGCTCCAGAGTGCTCCCCAATGGTCTAACCGTGGGCTGACGTTATTTAGACTGGAGAGCGAGAGGCTGGTGTGGCTCCAACCCAGGAGCTAGACCACCTGGCCTGGGGCCCAAGAAGCCACCATCAGCAGGGATGCTGCTGATGCCAACAGTGTTGTAATGAGAATCAAAGGAAAACTAGTTTCTTCCTACAGTTTAATCAAAAACATATGGAAGAAACTTTGGACAGATTCAAAGCTCTGCCCAAAGGGTAAGGATGTGGGGAAGAACACTTACATGTGTTCCACAGCTCATTATGCCACCTGGATATAAAAAAGGAAGTGGGAAATGCTTTCTTATAGCAGTGATTGGTAATGTTTCACAAGCCTGATGAGGTTTCTTTTTTCTTTACCAGAATTTAGGGGGGAGAGGGGAGCCTGTAATTCTACTGTCGCAYGTTTTTAGAGCCAGCACTCAAGAACTAGATCAGTTTACCAGTATTGTATGGACTTTGAAAGTAAGGTTGCCAAGGCCGGGTACTCAGAGGCATCAGCATTTACGACTGATGCTTCCACAGGCAGCAGCTCTAGTTTTGTAAAGAGGGTTATTTCTCAACCCCTAAATGGGCCAGGGTTTCATGGATATTTCAGCCCTTTTTCTGTCCCCTCTGAAAGCTTCTCTTCTGGAATGGATCATGGTATTCAGTAACTCGCATTTATTGTGCTTCTGCTTTGTTTGTGGGGGGCCCTACTGGAAATGATGTTGTGCACTAAGCCCAAGGCAAATGCACAAGAACCAGAGCAAGCTCCTTCAAAAGTGTCATTATGGAAAAAGTTCCTAGAGAAGGTGAGTGACATACACCCTGAAGCAGGACAAAAAACATTATCAGAAGCTGTACAGGGAACTTCGGCAGGTGAGGAGAGGAAGAGAGTGAGGGGAAAGGGGAAAAATAAGAGAGGGAGCTGATGTATTCTCCTCTGTTAAAAGCCTTTCAACAACCTTGTTATTGATATTGTATCTCTGGTGTTACAAAAGGGGGGGAAAAAGCCTTGAGGCAGTGCCAAATAACAAGTCATAAACATGGACATAAACTTATATCCTCTGTATATAAGATTCCAGATGTTAACTTTGCTCTCAAAAGGCACGATATAAATGCAAGGATTTACAGGATCAAGACTCAGAAGTGTGATTTCTGTATTTTAGGGGCACAATTCCTATTACAGAGGCTACCCTGTAATGCAGCATTCCAATAAATAGAAGAATTTGGATTTTTTAGATTGTATATACTTAAAATCCCAATTCTTATTTTTAAAATAGCTATTAAAGGTAAATTGAGCATTACTAAGTTTTAAAGTAAGAGGGTTTTTTGCRTATTTTATTTTACAAGCTGTTATTTAATGCTAGAACATACTTAGGCCTTAAATTACTCCTTTTTTTGTGAAATTCTCAGTCGCTTATTGGCACCAAATTATTTAATTCCAACAAAATATACTGTCAAACTAGGAAGGAGATTGTATCTGTACAAAAAAATCCCTTTCAGGTTCCATTCCCTATCTGCAACTCTAGCTATTGCTACCTAAATGGTCTCCGTATTAATAGTCAAACCCATATCATTTTCATCCACAAGAAAGAATATTTTAAATAACTTCTATGTGACCAAAGAAATGTCCTTTGTCCTTTTTTTCCCAAGTCTTACAGCTCCAGCTTTTGTAGCCTATTACTAAACACATTTTTCGCTACCTAATGTATGAAATAATAACACGTAAATGACTATTAAGTGCTCTTTAAATGAAAGCCCAGTGAGAAAATAAACATTAATTAATCTGTTGTTCTCAAGTTTAGTTAACTGATTTCTCTTTTCCTGCAAGTTTATTGCTGTGATGCTCTTCCAGGGATATGGGTTTCCTCGTATGCATTAGTAGAAGATCAATGAGAGTGGAGCCCTTTCTGGCCTGCTGAGGTGTTTACTTGCCTCTAATGGAAAACAAGCAGTGCAGAAGCTCAGTTTGTTCTTTTCAAAAGCAGCCCTCTTTGCTGTGAGAATCCGAAATGAGGAGCACTTATTTTTGCTCTGGGCTCTTTCCTGTGAACTACATCACCCACAATTAAAAGCATTTGTTTGTGCCTGGTCCCTGGTGCAGTGTTCCTAGAACTGGTGGCACCAGCAGAGGGACATGGACGTTATAAGGTCAGCAAAACCCSAGATCTTTCAAGGTGAGGCCAGGCAGGCCCTGCTTTAGAAGGGAGGGCATAGACCCACTGTAGATGAAGGCTTTTTGAGCTTAAGGAATTGSTCCATGATTATGCTTGTTCAAAGTATCTTCAGCACGGAGCTGATAAATATCCTATTTCTTATTTCCTAAGGAGAATCTTCTCCAAATGCTGTTAAATAAAAACCTATAAYATAAGGTTACTGTTTTATCAGCTTCTTGAATCTGTGCCTCTTGTTACTTGCTATACAAAACACAAACTGTTAAAARTCTTTTTTTTAGAAAGCAAAATGAATATCAAACATCCTGCAGCACACTCRGGCTTATGGGTCGCCTTCTCTCGCCGAAGATGCATGTTACAGAGGGCAAAGAAAACCCGTGCAGTCCTTTAAAGGCAGATCCCACCATAGACAGGTGGAGCTGTTACTAGCCACCTTGGTTACTGACAACTTTTTAGGGTGTTGTAGGAAGTTATGTTATTTGTTTAGTTAACACACACTTGTAAAATAGTTTTTGTTTTGTGGAGTTTTATTTATTTGTTTTATATAAGGGGAAAAAATACCCTGTTTCTGTCTTAGATGATCTCATCCTTCACATCACCAAGTATTTAAACACCTTCTTCCAAGGGTTAGGAAAGCRTCACTAACCGATCTGTGTGTTCATGAACAAATTCTAGAAGGCTCACAGCAGAAGAGGTTTATAATTAAAGACTCTGGTAATGCTGGCAAGTGGATGGTATTAATTTTGTGGCGCTGGGAGAAGGAGATGAGCTAATAAAAATGAAATGTAGAGGGAGCGTTAGAAATGAAAGTTCAGTCTCTTGTTGCTACCTCGATACATTCTGAACTAAAACTTTGATGCCATTGTAATG